GAAAAAGAGAGCAAGCCAGGAATTAAAGAGCAGTTCGCCATGTGGGAGTCCAGCGCCCTTAACCACCACGCCAGCTGCTGGCCCTTGTTTGTTTTTTAGTTGTATTTCATTGAATTTTATTGAGAAAATGATGTTTTGGGAATATTCACAAATTTCAGATTCATAAAAGTCTTAGGACAAATTTTTGTATAACAGAGGCTTATGGTGTTCTCAAAGCTTTTGAGAGACTACATGTAATTTTTCCTTTATTCTAACACTACTTTTATAATATAGAGTGAGACTATTTTAATATTGTTTTACTTGAATCATTAGATATCTTCTCTTTCTGCATTTTAGACATTGAGAGACCTAATTTATACATAAATGAAGTTAAGCCAGTAAGGATGGCAAATTTCTGCTTTGTCTACTAAAAAAAAAAAGTGTAGTTAGCAACCAAAGTCATTAATACAGTGAACATTTCTGTGATAAAATTATGTTATGACGTATCTTATATAATTATGAAAACCAACATGCTGTTTCTTAAATCAGATAATTCTGCAATGAGGATAATAGATGACGATTGTTAAAATAAACAACTTTTGAGTACTACTGAGGAAATTTCCAAAAGATATTGTCTACTGTCAGGGTTTAGAAAATAAAGTACCTGCGCGCCCAAGATCCTGAGAGGAGAATGGAGGAGAGGGGATTGCGGCATGGCCATCCCCCATAATGGGTGGTGATTTCTCACTTTCTGTCTCTGTTTCTCTCTGCCTTTCTGGCAAGTACATGTGCCCTATAGCAAAAACCTCTCCAAAAAAAATAAGAAGAATAAAATAAAATAAAGTACCTCAAATAGGGCACCTAGGTATGCTGAATATTGTGAACTGAAAGAGAGAGGAGAGGCCTCAGAAGCAGGTCTCTGACTTTCTGCGGTTCTTTCTCCCTCCCTCTATGTGAATCATGAAAGTTATAATTTCTTTTCCTCTGGGCAGGTTATAGAAATAATTGATATAACTTCTTTTGTCCAAAACAAGCCATAAGCCTAGAAAGATTACTTTCTGAACTTCTCCCTTCTTCCTTGAAGACCTTCATTCCAGAGGGATCCTGCCCCATACTGGACAATAATACAACACAGAAAACAAGAATCTAAATAGCAGATGGTCTGTGACCATTAGATCAAACTATTTTTGTCCAAACAGATTTTTTAAATTTACATTTAATCACATATATCTTTACAGTGTACATCATTTCTTTTTCCAGGACAAATACTTCGCTTACCAGTCAAGCTGAAGATATTACTATATACATCATGAGAAAATAGCTTCCCCTTTTTGTCAATCACATGGCTTTGTTAGAGATTTTGGGTAGGCCTGCTTTTTTCTTATACTTTTTTTGGATTACATTCTTGTTTAAACTGTATTTGTTTGTTATTTTTTATCCTTTAGAAACAAACAAACAAACATTAGTTTGCCTAAGAAATCAAGTCTGACATCTTTTGTGAACAAAATACTACTGTTGCAGTTTTATAACAAGCAAGACGTGTAGTGAAATGATGCAGTTTTCAATGCTAAATCACCAACAGGCATGTGCTTTTTTATAAATAGTGTTAAGAAATATGTATGATGTGATTATTCCTACAACATAGCAACATACTTTCCTATGGCTTAGCCTAAAATTTTCTTTATAATGTTTCTAAAGAGGGGAAAAAAAGAAAGAATGATGCATGATTATTTTGCTTATTTGGATTAGATGATTTTGCCAATTCCACAATACGTAGATGGTTCCATGATACTTTTAAACTGTAACGTGGCCATGAAGGAAGACTAGAAGTCCTTGGTTTTCCAAATGGAAAATTCTCGAGAGTAAAAAAAGAGTGCTAGTAATAATTATGTAATGGTAATAGAAGTAAACCATATAATATTAAGCAAAGGACCATAAGCAAAATATGTTGTAGAAATGATTCTCATTTTCTTTCACCTGGGACAAAAAATATTTATTCATTAGAAAATAAAGTACTTTGGGACCAGCAGTTAGCATAATGGCTATGTCACTGGACTCCCACGTAGTCGACCGCGGTTCATGTCCCGAACCTGGTGGCTTAAAACTCATGCCAGGCGTGTGTGCGTGCATGCCCAAGATCCCGAGAGGAGAATGGAAGAGAAGGGATTGCAGCGTGGCCATCCCCTCTGGGGGGTGATTTCTCGCTTTCTGTCTCTCTGTCTCTCTCTGTCTGTCTGGCGAGTGCACGTGCCCTATAGCAAAAAAAAAAAAGAAAGAAAAGAAAAGAAAAGAAAGTACTTTATTGTTATTATGGCATTATTGCCTGCTGATCATGTGCCTCTGCCGGTCTGGCGAGTGCACGTGCCCTAGAGCAAAAAAAAAAAACTCTCCAAAAAAAAAAAAGAAAGAAAAGAAAAGAAAAGAAAGTACTTTATTGTTATTATGGCATTATTGCCTGCTGATCATGTGCTTCTCTTTTGCTAAGTACTTTATATACATCACTTTATTTTTCTCTTACAAAGTGTCAGAGGTAGACATTCTATTACTTTGCTCATGGAAAAAGAAATGAAGCTCAAACTCCCCATAATAATGTCTCACACAGCTTTGTGCTGTCTTATATACTTCTCTAACTAAACCACTAAGTTAGGAGAAGAAATGAGAAACAGCTGTACATCTTCCTTCCATGGGGACTTTATAGAACACTTTCCTCAACATCTGTGGAAACATTGTATCAAACCAACTACAAACCTGTTGTTCAAGCAGAGATGGGACACTTTAGATGGTGTGGGCAAAACTCACTCATCCACATAGAAAACAACTTTGGCCCAACTACCAATTCTGAGATCCTGTAATAAATAAAAAGACAGGGCTTTGAAGAACCGATACATAGCTTCAAGATAAGATCAGTAAAACCAGCTTCACCACATGCCATTATTCCATTAGGACCCCAGCTGGAATGTGTTTTCATGGATGGAGAATGATGGAGAAGGACTTCCCATAGTAGACAGAATGAAGTGACTGAAAGAAGAGATACCCTTTGGGTCTTCAGGAAAGAGTAAGTTGCTCTTATTACAGAAGGAACACATGTACACACACATCTGCAAATTCACATATGTATGCATACTCATATGAAAATTTATGTGCATGTATTGACAGATTCACATATATGTGTACTATACATACACATAAGTGTGCCTACATACATATTACTATACATACATGTATATATCTTAATGGCTCTTAGCAAAACAGAAAACAGAGCAATGAGGACTCTATGGCTTTTTTAAATTATGCAGTGCTGTGTAATCATAAAATATATATACATATATATAAATTATCTTTCCTTCTAAAATTCATTCAGTCTCAAGTGCAGAAATGTTTTTCCCCCAGTAGACATAATCATCAAACTCCCAGTTTTTGAAATTATGTGTATGTTATTTATGTAAAAAGAAACAAAATTACCTTGACATCCTTAATATTTCTTGGGAAATTGTTATTACTTGTCATTGCATTTTCAGGACATTTTTTAAAGAATAGAGCCATTAGTTATAAGACTCAGTTTAATATATGTGTTCTTCTGGATAATACAAGACCCATTCAGGTAGTTTCATCTACAGAGAATGTGTTTTGCACAGATGGTACATTTTATAGGTGACAAAGTATTGGTCAGGGGAAATACAGGTGAGTAAATGTGTGTGTGTTATTCTATTTTAAATAATATTTAGGCAGAGCCATCGTGCACACTGCTAAGATGCTATGATCTGCAGGCTGAAACCACACAGGAGGCTTAGGTTCTATTCTTGGTCCATCATAATTGTCAGTTCTAGTGCATGTAGGTTCGTAACTCAGAGTAAGTAATCCCAGCAATTTGAGAGGCTGAGGCTGGAACATGAATTCAAGGTGACCTGGTGTTGAGCAATGTGAAATTTTCATCTCTGCCACTGTAAGCATGTGGATCTTGAAACTATTAAACAAATTTTGAAATAGCTAAGAAAAGTTTATGGCTAACTCTACAGACTAAGTGTTTTGTCCATTGGATTATTTAAAAGCACCTTTCCTCTGCATGTCCTATGGTGAACATCCCTTTGAGACTTAGCTATTTTCATACCATGGAATCATTATTTGGGGCCTATCCTCACATATTTTTCAAACCCCGAAGTCAATATCATTATAATCTTTTAAAAAAATTTATTAGAGGGTGTGTATGCTCACTAGAGTGAGATAGAGAGAGAGAGATAGAGAGAAAGCATTCCCCATGAGGAATGGTCTTGCCACAATCCCTTCTCTTCTACCTTCCTCCTTTTGGGATTTTAGGCATGCGTGCACATGTGTTCAGTGTGTTTTTCGAGCTGCTGGGTCCATGACTTGAACCACACAGTTGATTATGTGGGATCCATCCAGATTCTTTAACCACCACACCATTGGCTGGTTCCATTCTATCCCTCTCAAATCTCTAACAAGACAAATGAGAGCCACTGTTCATGAACCAGCATAGGTTCGATAACTCAGAGCATGTCTTCTAGGAAAGGTGGATATCCATGTATAATATCTACAGTTCTTTCCACTGAGGAGATAGTTTTTCCTTTCCATTATATTTCAGGGTCAGGGCTGAGAGAGAGCCTAATATTTTAGTGGTCCTTTTCTGACTGATATTGATTTGCAGGAAAAAGAAAGAAAGAAAAAAAAACAAACCTATAAATTAGGCTGCACTAATTTCCTTACTTAACCATATTTTAATCAAAATTTACCCATGAAACTGTTGTTTTGA